ACAACTCCCACAGGACCAACGCGAAGTCATCCTCGACGTGCTGCGGACATATGCGGTCATTTTTGCGTGGAGGCCGGACGACATGCCGGACATCAGTCGAAGAGTGATCACTCACCGGCTATCAGTCGACCCCGCCTCCACGCCGATCAAGCAGAAGCGGCGCTACCTCTCGGCCGACAGACGTGACTTCGTCAAAGGGGAGGTTACCATGCTCCTCTCAATCAACCACATCAAAGAGCTGAAGTACCCGACCTGTTTGGCCAACGTCGTCCTCGCCCAGAAGCTGCCGATGTTCAGAATGTGCGTTGATTACACTGACCTGAACAAGGCGTGCTCTATGGACCCGTTCCCTCTCCCCAACATTGATCAATTGGTGGACAAAACGGCGGGGTGCGAGTTGATGTTGTTCCTTGACGCCTTCATGGGGTACCAGCAGATATTCATGCATGAGGATGATGCCGAGAAGACGACCTTCATGACCCCGGAGGGAATTTTCTGCTACCTCGTCATGGCCTTTGGGCTCAAGAACTCAGGCGCCACATACACCAGAATGCTAGCCAAGGTCTTCAGAGCAGTCCTCGGCCGGACGATGAAGGCATACGTTGACGACATGATCGTCAAGAGCAAGCAATCCATTAGCCACGCCGATGACCTCCGAGAAATTTTTGAGATAATGAAGAAGTTCCACCTCCGCCTAAATCCGAAGAAGTGCACCTTCGGCGTCCGGGGGGCAAGTTCCTCGGTTACATGGTCAGCCGAAGGGGCATTGAGATCAACCTAGAAAATATACAAGCTATTGTCAAGATGGGGTATTGACCTAGTCGGCCCCTTGCCCAGAGCCGCTGGCAACAACCGCTACATCATCGTCGCCGTGGACTACTTCACCAAGTGGGTTGAAGCGGAACCTATGGCCAGCATCATAGGGGCCACGTGTCAGAAATTCATCCACACTTATATCCTTACCCGTTTCGGCGTCCCTCAGGAGATCATATCTGACAACGACACCCAATTCGAGGCCGCACCCTTCTAAGAGCTTCTCCAAGAGTGGGGAATCAAACACCGTTTCTCCTCCGTTGCCTATCCTCAAGGTAACAGGCAAGTCGAGAACGCCAACAAAACCATCCTGGAGAGCCTGAAGAAGAAGCTCCAGGACGCAGGGGGCAGTTGGGCCGATGAGCTCCCCAATATCTTGTGGTGCTACTGTACTGCGCCGCGGAGGGCGACAGACGAAACACCCTTTGCCCTTTGCTATGGTTTTGAAGCAAAGGCGCCTACAGAGGTCACCATACCCAACCGACGGTTGGAGCGTTATGAGCCTGAGGCCAACGAAGAAAGCATGAAGATTGATCTCCACCTGATCGAAGAAAGACGGGATCAGGCCTTCATCCGGGTAGAGAACTACCGGCGTCAAGTAAAATCATACTATGACGCCAAGGTACGTTCCCGAGAATTCCAGGTGGGGGACTATGTCCTTCACCGAAGAGAGGCGAGCAAGCCGACGGAAGGTGGCAAGCTGGCACTCAAGTATGAAGGCCCCTACATCGTCAGTGCCGTGGTCAAACCCGGCACCTACAAACTAAAACACCCAAATGGGTCCAATGTACCACGAACGTGGAATGTACATCACTTGGTGAAATTCTATCAATAATCCGGGGAGGGCGCAGCCGGCAAAGCCCTCACCTTCCCACGGATTGTTGATCGAACGCCACCCTCGGCCTCGAGCCACTTATCAATAAAAGTTCTTCTTTATCAAAGATCAGAAAAACGTACTATACTACACTGACCCCTCAGTGCGAAGATGCTCAGGAAAGGTCAACAGAGCACATCGTTCCGGCCCCTCAAAGCGAAAATGATTAGGAAAGGCCAACGGTGTCCCTAGGACGAAGGGCCCGCAAAGAGCCCACGTCTTGAAATGGGAAGCTCACCACGTCATCTATCCGCGAAATCAGCAGGACTCTGAAATCATGACCGAGGTGACAAAAATCCCCAAACTCAGGGATGAAAAATAGTAGTCGTCGGTAACCGACCAAACGCCTTAGCTCGCGTCATAAATAAGCGACGGGACCTCCCTGAGATCACAGGACGATCCAGTAGGACTCCTTACCGACCGAGGGACTATCGACCCCCTTGGCCGAAGCCTGAAAGAAGGACACCCACTCCTCGCTCAAATGAGTTAAGAGGAAGAAAATAAAAGAGGGGCAGCTGAAAGACCGCGCACTTGCCGGACTGAAGCGATATCCCCAAAAATAAAAGAGGGATAGCTGAAGGACCACGCACTTGTCGCCCTGAAGCGATATCCCCAAAAATAAAAGAGGGACAGCCGAAGGACCGCGCACTTTCCGCCTTGAAGCGATATCCCCCAAAATAAAAGAGGGACATCCAAAGGACTGCGCACTTGCAGGCGTGAAGCGATATCCCCAAAAATAAAAGAGGGAAGCCGATGAGCCGCACACTCGCCGGCCTCGAGCAATAAAAATAAAATCCCTAAAATTGTCCAAGTACATATCAGGCGAACATTGCGTATTACGGACGAAAGCGTTCAAAAAAAAACTTGGACAAAATTACTAAGGTAAGCTCCTGGGGCCGAAAAGGGGCACCACATGGTCGGCATCAGACAACCCAAAAGGGAAGCCGTCATCAGCCACTCATAAAGGAAGCAATCACCCAAGTGTGTTCAAACACTTAGAAAAAATTTCTAAGTATTTGGAGAAATCCCTGAGTAGCATCCAGAGCGGCCGACGAGGACAAGGATCCGGTCTGTCCAACACTTGGAACAATTTCCATATATTTGGAAAAATCCCTAAGGGGCACCCTAGGTGATCGTATCCACGTCACCGTCATTATGGTCCCAAATCCGAACAAAGCAACCATACTCTAAGCAAAAAATTACAAAGGTGGGACACCAAACATTACAAAGACGAAGAAGACATTCCCCCCCTCTCAGCCGAGCAAAGGGCAGAAACCTTCATCGGCCACGACTACGGAAAGCAAGATTAAGACTTCTTGTTTGATACTTAGAAAATGACATGTGAAATAAAAATGGATGGGGAATGACACAAAACGAAGAATACGCAATGGCCGGAAAAGTTCACATGCCGATGAAAACACCTAGACATGGATTATCCATCCCGGCCGTATTGGCCGATAAAGGCCCCCGAATTAGAGGAACTACCTAGTTTGACACTTAGAAAAATTTCCAAAGTGTGAACAACAAAAAAGGGGTAACGCCAAGACGAAGCGGACACTCAATCACTTGAAGTCTAACACAGAAGAAATTCAAAGGTCTGTCTAGAAGCAAGGGGTGTTCCTTATAGACGAAACATGCTCACCTAAGCTACCCGCTTCGGCCGCAACAAGAGGAAACAACCGAAGAGAATGATTATCCAAGTCTCAACTTAAACACTTGGAATTTTTTTTTGTAATGCTTGAACAACAAAAGCAAAAGGAAGAAGCAAGACGAGGAAGACATCATACTTAAAAGCCAGAAAAGATATATATTTTCATTCATTGGAGCAAAGATACATGGGGGGCGCAACGACCATTACAAAACAATGGCATCACAACACCTGCCTAACTTACTAAACTACATAACGAAAAGTCAGCCGATCAGCTCTCTGGGGTGACCTCATCGGCAAATAGCCCCGCACCGGCTTGCTCGAAAGCAACTTCATTACCGTCTTCCATCCCCGCATCTGCACTGGCCTCGCCTGCTGCAGAAATGGCGGTGTCGGCCAAGACGTCGTCATCAGATTAGTCAGGCTCACCGATAGAGGAGCTGAGTATCGGGTCTTGCCTCTCAGAAGGGGGGAGCTTCGCTTCGGCCTCTGGATCCTTCATCAGTCTGGGAAGCTTCAAGTTCTTCTTGGCCCATTTCTGGGTAAGCTTCAACTTCTTGAAAGCCCAGTGTAGCCTCCGATAGATCAGCCGTTGTATCCTCTGTTGGCCCATGTCGTAATAAACGAACATCTCCCTTTGAAAATATTCCTAGCCGGCAGGGCAGTTCTGGCCCCAGTCTTCAAGCCGATCCGCCACTACCTCGTAGCACCAGGGCCGACGGTCTTCCGCCTTCCAGCCTTCGGCCAGAAATTTCTCAATGGTGCCGTCAACAGCCTTCTCAGTAGCCCTCTCGGCACCAGCTTGCGCCTTTGCGGCGTCCTCGGCCCGGAGGAGGGCATCATCGCAGCTCTGCAGCGCCTCATCCCTTGCTCTCAAAGCATCATCCCTATCGGTCGCCACCTAACGATAGGCCACATCGGCCTCATCGACACCCTTCTGCAGGGCTTTCACTTCTTCCCGGAGCCGGTCTAGGCAGGCCATGGCCTCCTCGGCCGAAGCAGCTTTTTGCTCGGCCTCCTTCAGCCGGGCAATCTCTTGTTCTTGCCGCTTATGGCTCTCCATCAGCATAAGGGCACCCTGCAACAAAGAAAAAAGGTTAGGACGATGCGAAGACTCATGACACCAAAAGATGTAAAGTACGAGGAACTTAATTGGACGAAAAGGTCCATCCCGCCGTCGTAGATCCTGACGTGGCCAAGCTTCTTCAGATAAGCCCGGTCCTCGACCGGGACGGCTTGAGCAAGCACGTCATGGCCGTCAACGGCGTCATTAAAGACGCCCCCCCTTCACAGGGTACTCGAATTCGAGCTTGTAAGTCCTAACGGCTAATTCCTTTTCGGCCCTCCTTTTCCGGGAATCATGGCCGACAGGGGGCGGCTGGGACATGTCAGTCGACGAAGGGACCGAGACCGCATCAACAACGGCAACGGCATTGGAACCCCCGGCATCATCGGCCAGCATGGTCGGAACCCCGACGTCAGCATCGGCCAAAGGGGAAGCCCTCTTCGTCTTCTTAGGCTGCATACCAGCCTCAGTCAGCTTCCTCTGACCATCATCCACTGGCCGTTTCTTCTTCGGCTGCGTGGGCGGTTGTTTCGGCGCATCAGAGCTCGGTTGCGCGCCATTTGCAGCAGCCATCTTTGCGGCCTCCTTGGCGGCCATCTCCTCCTTTGCTTTCGCTTTTGCAAGGGCCATGACGGATCTGCGATCCATAACGAAGTCTGCACAACAAGGAAAACAAAAGACAATTAGCAAAAACAAAAGCAAATATAGACGAAGACGCCAAGGAGGGTATTACCATCAGCATCAGTGGGCACACCCAAATCCGGGCCATCGGCCTCCTCAAAAGTGGTGGTCATCCTCGGCCACATCGCGGTGTCACTCTCCTTGTCACCATAAACGAAGTACCTGAAGAAGCCGAGGGCGGTCATCTTATACTCCGTTATGTACTCTTTCACTCTCCTCGGCCCTCCTTTCAGAAATGCCGCCACCTGGGCATCCAAGATGCTGCTCTTCGGCACATCATGAAGGTTGAATCTACCATCATGGCCGACGGAGGGAAACTCCGTACCACCCTCACCCAAAGACACAAAGACAAATTTACTCTTCCAGCCATGAATGGACGAAGGAAGATCAGTAAAGGACCTCTTCTTCGGCAGCTGTTGAAAATTAGCATAGCCGACACAATTCTTGTGGCTCCCTCGGCCGATCTGGTATAAATTCATGAAAAGGGCCGTCGTCGGCCTAAAGTCCAATTCATCGCAGCGAAGGAGGAAGCCAACGATGAGTGAGTAGCTGTTCGGGGTCAGCAAGGTCGGGGGGAGACCCACCATGTCCAAGTACTCCGTAATAAATGGGTGGAGGGGAAACCTAAGCCCCTTAGCAAAACTCATGGGCTATACTCCAAAGTACCCCGGAGGTGGATTTAGCACATGATCCGACGGCCTGGGCGCCCTAACCCTCCCATACGGCCCCACATACATCTGGGCCACCAGGTAATCAGCTGCGCTACTCTCCGACTTGATCAAATAAAGGTTCGTGAGGTCCAAGTAGGAGTAACCTGGACCCTTCTTCGACCGACGCCTTCTCGTCGGTGCAGTCCCCTTCACAACAGACATCGGCTTCGGGCAGGGAATCGCAGCTGAGGTAGACGCTCCGTCCACAGCGCGGGAAATCACTACATCCTCACTCTCAGACGACGAGCCAGCCTCTTCGTCTTCACCCTCACCAACCTCCGGCTCCCCTGACTTGAAGGAGCTCAAGTCCTCAATCTCTTCGCAACACTCCTAGACTACCCGGTAGTCAAGGGACTTCAAGGAGGCCTCATCGTCATATGGGTAATACTCATCGTCCAAGGGCTTCATCATAACAACTAACTAGAGCCTAGAGGGTTTTACTTTGGATCTAAAGGTGGTTCTCCACTAACAGCGGATCAAAGACTAAAAGAAGCAAAGTGTGCAAGGAAGTGGAGAAAAGTTCAATGAACTGACCTTTGAAGTTTTGAAGAACGGAAGAACACACGGAAAGGCTCTCTCTCTCTAGAAAATTTGGCAGCACTTCGTCATCTCAGGAATGCAATGAGGAGCCTCTTCGGAGGGAGGGGGGTATTTATAGACCTCCCCCCCAACGGTCACTACACGTGGCACCCTCCCGTTGGCCACATAAACGACCACCACCCCTAAGGCCCATTGGGCTGGTACCGGTTCAGGAGGCGGGTCAGGCCCACTTCCACAATACCAGCCCATCGCCAACATGCCAGCAATCAACGCCCACAACGGCCAACCTAAGAAAGCGCGCCTACATCGGCCTCAACACATATGACTTCAGAAGGGTAGGTCACACCTCAAAGTGTGTCCATATCGGCTTAAACAGAACACCAATAGCATGGCCTTTTCAACGGCCACCACAGCAAAGCAAAAAGCAACCCAACAGCCATCGGTCTTGTATAAAACCCTAATGATAATTTGCGGGTTCTCCCACAGGGTTACCTTGGTCGGGAAATCGCCAAAGAATTGGATTCAGGGGAAGGCAAGAATCCGCTTCGGCCTAGGGCAATCCTTTACTCATTCACCCCTCGCTTACTCTTCGGTCTGAAGTAGTGGGGGACTGGGAGACTACACCACCCTTTGAAAATCAAGACAAAATCCAAGAAATCCAAAAATAAACTAAGTCCACAACTACAACATCGGATCATATATGCACCACAGCGTCCATAACCTTGTCGTGCACCATCGGCCGCAACAAAGTAAGCAGACAAAGAATTCCCTCCAAAGATGCAACACCTAAGATCACAATGCACTCAACGACTTTGAGACCGCATACTCCACTCTCCGTCAGAAATCAAGACGGGAACTCATCGTCCTCAAAACATGGACACCAAGCTGCGAATACCATCACTCCTCAGCCAAAGACACCGAATGAGAGCCACAGCGGCCAAATAAAGCAAACAGCACCCTCACCGGCTACCCGGAGGAAGAAGGACACTCATCGTCCTCGAACAGGAAATGACCACAATGGTCTCCTCGGCCATGAGTACAAAGTTCAACCATCAACGACCAGGAGAAGGGAAACATGTTCTTCATCGGCCACTCGCGCAAGAGAACGCTCATCGTCTCCACCAAAAAAAGGCACTTGTCGTCCTTGAAACCGGAAACATGCATCATCCGCATTACTAGGGCCCTCTTCGTCTACAGCGAAGACCACACAACGGCCAGAACGCAGTACACCCGTAACAATGAAAATCAAGGACCATAGCAAAGGGTGCCTGTGACGGCCAAGACTCCATAGCGGCCCCACAACGGCCAGAAAAGTCAACACCAGGGACTCTACTCTCCTTCACTTCGTCTACATCTCAGCTCAGAGAGTGGGGGACTCCTGATGGAGTATATGGGTCTGGACCCCAGGGCCCACATACTTGGGAGAACAGAAGGTACCACGACCACCTGGTGGGACCCTCGTCGGCCAGATGACCGCCATCGGCCAGAAAGAAGTCTACTCAGAATGTGATCCAGAAGTCTGGAAGAGCCGGGTGACCTCATCGGCCGGGTCTTCATCGGCCATGCCCTCGTCGACCATAAACAGTCTCTAGAACAAGATTTACACTTAATCTTTTCTATGTACTTTGTATCCGGCCCATTAGTGGCCCTATTGTAGATGGGCCTCCCAAACCCAAGACTAGAGGAACCCAGCCCTAATTTTTCCTATAAATACTCCCTCTGGGAATAGTTGTAAGAGTTCACAATTCATTAATACAAAGCAATTATACTACTTCTCTCTCTAGCTCTCACTTCTCTCTAGACTTACAGTCTATCACCTATTTAAATAGGTAAGATAAAAGATTGCTTTGCCTATCTAAGTTGTTTTTATTTTATGTTAAGTCAAGAAAAAATCAAGGGTAATTGTGATGGTTTTTATTAACTTTTTTAAATAGGAATGAGAAGTTAATACTCAATTCCGTCCCTTTTTATTTAGCCAATCACTATTTTTCAAATGAATGATATTAAACTTTGACTGATTATATATTAATACACGATAATATTGATAATATGAAATTATATGAAAATGTTCTTTATTAAAAATATTTATCATAAAAGTATAAATTTATTAAGTTTTAATAAACATATTAGTAAAAATAATGGATCAAAATTTATCATCTTTAACGGGAAAAGAAAAAAATGACTAAATAAAATGGTAACGTTAATTAAAAAACGAAATGTGAATATCTCTTTGACCAAAGAAAGGGGTGAAAGAGTGACTACGCGCGTTGACACAAAGGCATCCAGTGGCATTCACACCGGATAACGCAAACGCGCCTATGGTGTCAATTGGTCATCCATCGTCTCATTTGCGGACGGCGTCCAGTAATAAAAAGACGACGACGACTAGGATATCGACCAGGAATTAGCATTGGCGGAATATAATGGAGGTGAAAAGGCGGGCGGTGGAAAGTCTGGTGACGAAGCTGGGTTCAGTATCGGAGCGGGCCCGAACAGAAGCCATCTGTGAGCTGCGAATCGTCTCAAAGAACGACGGCGAGAGTCGGCAGTTGATCGCCGACGCCGGCGCTATTCCTTACCTTGCGGAATCGCTCTATTCTTCCGACAAAGTCTGCCAAGAGAACGCTACGGCCGCCTTGCACAACCTCTCCATCTCATCTAAGGACGCTCTGATATCCACCCGCGGACTCCTTGACGCCCTCTCGCACGCACTCAGGAACCCATCTTCTGCCTTTACTGCCCAGTGCGCCGCCGCCACCGTCTTTAGCCTCCTAACGGAGGAGAAATTCCGGCCCATCATCGGCCACAAGCGGGATATCGTCTTTGGTCTAATCGACATCGTGAGAAACCCTAATTCGGCTTCTAGATCGATCAAGGATGCGCTCAAAGCGCTTTTTGCCGTCGCGCTTTACCCTCTCAATCGGTCCCTTATCATTGACCTGGCCGCAGTGCCTGCGCTGTTCTCCTTGCTTTGCAAAGACGGCAGACTTGGCGTTCTAGAAGATGCCACGGCGGTGATCGCCCAAATAGCAGGCTGTAAGGAGAGCTGGGAGGCATTCAGAAAGGTCTCAGGTGTCGACGTCTTGGTGGATTTGCTGGACGACGCCACTGGATCAAGCAATAGGACCAAAGAAAATGCAGTCTCTGCACTTTTGAATTTGGTGCAGTGCAGTGGGCAAGATGTGGCTGAGATCATTCGCGGATTAGTTTTAGGCGCAGTAGAGGGAATTATAGAAGTTGCAGAGAATGGAAGCGAGAAGGGGAGGAGCAAAGCAATGTCATTATTGGAGATTCTTGACGTGAGCTGCTCTGTTTTGGGAGATGAAGATTCTTGATGCGCGCAGCTAGCTCTCTCCTGGAAGATGATAAGTTTGGAGGTGACTGTCTTAATTTTTGAGTTTGTATGATAATGGTATATAACTTGAGAAGTAAATATGTCTGGCTGTATAGATGAATGGATTGATTATACCTTATGAGTTATGACGATTAGTGTTTTTTCCATATCTGTTTGTAGCAAATCCACCCTATGATTAAGTTATGAAAATGATAATGATGATTGTGTTCATATCATTCTACTTGCCTTCCTCACCTGTATGTTTTGTGGCATTGGGGTGAGTTTCATCATAATGACTATACTTTAACAAGACCATTTCTTCATCATTTGTCTACAATACAACAACAATTGAGCCTTGTTCTCAAAAGATTCTGAGGTCGGTAATATTAACCAATCCATGATACCGGAGCCAAAAAGAAAAATAAGAAAAGAAAAAGATAACATAAGATAAAAGACAAGATAAAGAAAAAAAATAAAAGAACATAAAAAAGATAAAAGATAAAAATAACATAAGAACATAAGAAAGGTAAAGAAGATAAAAAGGATCAAAGAGAGAGAGAAAAGAGATCAATCCTCCACACGAAAATTGTATATTTACACAAAGCGTTTATTGTTAGTAATTTTCAATCTCAAACTGATTATTTGACTACCAATATGCTTATTTAGTTATGCCTATATGTCATACCAACAAATTCAAAATTAAAATTGCATATAATTGAAAAATTACAAATGTAATGTGACAATGACTTAAAAAAGAACCTGCTTTAATTAAAGTAGAACAAACCTGATGTAAAAAAGTTAATTATTCAATTT